ATTAAACGTGAATAATTCGAAAGGGCAGTGTGCATAATTAAATTTTGCTCAGATTTAGTATTTTGTTCAATCGCTGGATCAAGACTTATCTCTTTTTTGACATTTTTATTGTATTCATGTATGATCTTAATCCTAAGTTGAAGCATGAACATGATAAACAAGAGTGAAATATGAACAAGTTAAAGAAAATAAAGATGATAATGAATCAGTGCACAAACAAGAACGAATAAAATTCGATAAATGAAAAATCAGACAACTATTATGTAAACTTTTCGAGGTCTTACATTATCAATATGATCTTTTTTCAACGACGGCACATGGCTTTCACTAAAATTTATGATAGTAAATTGATAAATTTTACTCCTTTTTTGTGAAATTTGCAATGGATAAAAATAATTTTATTGGCGGAAAAAAATCTGCATTAAAATGGATTTAGAAAAATCTAGCTCTATATGTAGTATACTAAATTGCTTGAAATTTATTCTTACAAATCGTTACAAATTAATAAAAAAATTTAAGCAGTCTAGAAAATTTAAAAATATGGATGTGTGTCTTAGCTTCAATAAAAATAGAAAACTTTAAGTCTTTATATTTAATATTTTGTTTTTCAAATATAAATGAAAGCAGTATTGAATTGAATAAGATTATTAGCTTATTTAATTTATGTCGTAATTTTATGATCTCGATCTTTTTTTATTCGTTTTTTAAATAAAGATATAAATTTAGATTTGGTATTGGTGTTTTTAGCTCTCTTACTGACAGCAACATTAGCAGATACAGTATTAGTAGATTCGTTGATAGTAACATTGGATGATTCGTTGAAAGTAACATTGGCAGATTCGTTGGTAGTAGCATTAACAGATTCATTGAAAATAACAGTTTCAGCATTAGCAATTTCATCAACGGTATTATTAACAGGTAGATTAATAATAACACTATTAGATTTCATATGCCACTCAAATGCTTTTTTTTTATCTATACAAGTTCCTATACCATATTTGTAGCAACAACCAAGATTATGCTGTCCTGGGCTATTTCCATCTTCAGCAGATTTCACATACCATTTAAAAGCTAGATCTCTATCTATAGCAGTTCCTATTCCATATCTATAACAATCTCCAAGATTATTTTGTCCAGAACTACAGCCACCCTCAGCAGATTTCAAATACCATCCAAAAGCTAGTTTTTCATTCTTTGAAGTTCCTACACCGTGTCGGTAACAGTGACCAAGATTATATTGTCCTAAACTACATCCACCTTCAGCAGATTTCATATACCATTCAAAAGCTTTATTTTGATCTGTAAAAGTTCCAATTCCGAATTCGTAACAATAACCAAGTTTATTTTGTCCCAAACTATAACCTGTTTTAGCGGATTTTACGTACCAATTAAATGCTTTAACCAAATTTTTTGACGTGCCTATTGCATATTGATAACAATTACCAAGGTTATATTGCCCTACACCATTATCACCATTAGCAGATTTTAAATAAAATTCAAAAGCTTTCTTTTT